CTGGCACCACACACACCCTGCCTGTCACTGTGTCTTGAGCTCATTGCCCACAGTCTAACACACTCTCCCTTCAACACAAAAGCAAAATAACAAAGTCTTGCTTGGGAGAGAAAAAGGCAACTAAGTTTCCCCACGGGGAAAAAAAGTCTTCAAAGATGGCAGACACTTAGGGACATGTCATGTGGCCTTGATGATGGGTCCTGAAAGGAGGGACAGAGGTCCTCATCCCCTCTGCACAGTCTATTCAGTAGGCCGGGAGGGCCTGAGCGGGACTTCTCAAAGCTTCGGCTTGGAGCCAGGCCTGATGAACTGACCTGCCCTTCACTCTAACTGTTCTGCAAAGCACAGCCTCTTTTCAAAGCCACTAGATGAGTGGGGGACCCTGGTGACAGCCCCTTCCCACTCTCTCTGCGGCTCCGTGTCTGCTCCGGAAACATCTCTCATGTCCTTTGCATTGGAGACAACAGAGGAAGATCGGGAAGGCATCTGGCTTCTGGCTTCCCCACTCAGTGTGTTAAGTGCCAAGCAGACAGAGTCACATCCCCACAGCACTGCCTCTTAACTGGTCTCCCCTTCCCAGGATGCGTGATGGAGTGGGCAGCCTGGCACTAACGAACCACAGGCCACTAGAAGCTTCCCTGGGCCGTCAGGGCCGGTGTCCGCTGACCATCCGTTCCCTTTTCAGAGCCAAGAGGACATGGCTTGATTCCTGCCCTGCTGCTACGGCTGGAGGCTGTCAATGGTTTCTAGTAAGCCTGATGACACAGTTTCATGTACAGTTGCACATTTCTGTCCAGGGATGGAAAGCTCACATGGCCTCAATCTATGGCTGCTTTTCTTACCTGGGGACAATCATTCCCCCTGGGGCAGGAGCCAGCAGACAGGTGGCTGAGGCACTGAGCTCCGGATGGGCAGATATCCCAATGCTGCCCAGGACTTCCAGGCTTAGACACGCCGACCAGTTTAAAGGGGCCTGTCTTCACACACTTGCTTTATGGGGCATTGAGGACTGCCTCATACCGCTCCCCGTTACTGTAATGAAATCTGGGGGCTGGTCTTTCCAAAGCAAAGTTTACTGACTGAGCTCTTAGGGCTTTAAGGACATGACGCCAGGAGCAGCTCAAACTTAGCGACGGCCTTATGGTACAGAGATAACATCGTGGCGGGACCACGTGTGGAGAGAGCACGTGGCTGGACAGAAAGTCACAGAGCAACCACGGAAAGGCCCAGATCCACTCTTTCAAGAACTAGCTGGGATCTCCCCATCCCTCTTCAGGAAGGTGTCCTCAGATAACCAGACATTTAGGCTCCACCTCTTAAAGGCCCAAACCTCAAAATCATCCCCCTAGGGACAGAACTCCCAGCAAGCCACTGAGATCACCACCAAGAGCCACCTGGGGACACGTGCTGCCCCGCCCCCAGCACCTCAGTCTGCCCTCTGACCCCTGCTGTAGACCTCTCTAGGCAGGTGGAGAGGCAAACTGGGATGACAGGACACAGCCATGTCCTGTTCCCTACAAGGCCATGCCACCTCAGTGGTATGAGTAGGGTAGGGCTTTGCACTAGAAAACACAAGGTAAGTACTTTTTGCTCACTAAAAAACAAAACAAAAAACTTTGGGGGACCAGTCAGATGGACGGTTCAGCAGATAAATGGTGCTTGTCAGGAAACCTGGCGACTTGATCACCTGGACCCACATGGTGGAAGGAAGGAAGCTCTGGTGCATGTCCATGGCAGGTTTGTACACACACACACATGGACACACACGCCCCACAATAAGCGAAATGTACTAACAGTTTTGGAATGTACTATATAGCCAAGAATGACCTGACCTCTGACCCCCCCACCCCATTCCCTGGAGTGCTGAAAGCAGAGGGGTACACCTTCATGTCTGGTTTGATGTGGTACTGGGGACTGGACCTAGGGCCTCCTGCATGCTGAGCTAGCACCCTTCCTCGTGAGCTACGTTCCTAGCCCATGAAACTTTTTAAAACCACGGCTGTGACCCTAGCGAGGTAGCAGGCCGGAAGGGTGCGCCAAGCAAGGGCGTCCCCAGAAGTAAGCTAACGTGGCTGCTCTCCAGCGCTGTGAAGCCTTCACATGCTCTACTCAGAGGAATTGCCAAAGGACATCGAAGCTATGGGAAGTATTTGCACACAGGAGTGTCCACTCGGCAGTCATTCCTCACAGAGGTGAAGCAATTCCCACTGCCTGGCAGCGAAGGACCGGCACGCAGAGGGCCCCGACTGCAGCTGTCACAGACTGAGTTCTTCATGACGCTCAGTCGCAGAGAACCATCACTACAGAAGGGCGCACTTGAGAGAGACTCAAGGCCTCTTACTATAATGCCAGACCCCTCCTCTCACTCCCTATGGTGCTACCCCAGCACGGCCTCTAAACCTCCCACCCCCAGCCACTAACGAAGTCACCAAACCGAGCCCAGAGGCACCAAGCGTGGCCTTCACTGGCCCCCACGGCCCTGCTGTGTCCACGAGGAAGGACTCTGACCCAGGGAGTCACAAGGCAGACTAGAGCTGGCCCAGGTGCCGGCGGTCCTTGGTAGCTCCATCTGGCCCAGGGCAGCCTCTGCGGACCGGCTGTGTAGGCACACAGGCTTATGCTAGCAGACGTGAGACATCTGTAGGAGACAGAGGCCATACTCCGCTCACACACCTGCTACCCTGCCAAGGCAGGAAGGACCAAGAGATGCTGTACCTAGGAAGGCGTGTCCAGCCCCATTAGTCACCCAAATGTGTGCCCAGTTCAGAACAGCCACAGGCAGATGTGCCTTGGGGAGGCTGGGAGCTGGCCAGAGTCATTTGTCCAAGACCGACCGTAACCCTGAGGGCAGAGAGAAGACCCACCCCTCCCAGTTCTCAAGGAGTCTGGAGAGGGAACAGGCCTTAAAGGTGACAGTGCTGGCTCAAAAGCAGCCACCCTGCCAGCACAGGCTCTGCCCCAACCCTGACAGGTCCCTGGGAAGATTGGAGTACAGCTCTTGCCCAAGACAGGGCTCAGCTGGGGAACTGTGCAGCCAGGAGGTCAATGCATAAAAGTCTCCTAGGTCTGTGTGTGTGTGTGTGTGTGTGTGAATATACCTAGTGCCTAGAAAAGAAACCAAGGTAGAAGAGTGGCACAGTTAGAGGCTTTAGAACCAAGGGCCCTAGAGGCCCCTCCCCCACCTAGCCCACTATAGTTGAGTCAGCAACTTCCTGGCTGGGGGTTAGCAGTCCACACAGCATTTTTCATCTTTAATTCCCACCCACCCCTCATACACACACCCACTCTCTGCAGGCAGTGGAGGCCTGGGCACAGCATCTGGGACCAACCACATCCCCTATTCCTTTCCTTCACAGCCATTTAGCCACATGGGTCTGTGCTCTGGGATAACCCTAGCCGAGGGGGGCCCTGGGGTCCTTAATCCTGGGAACCCTGGCGACAATCTGTGGCCAACGTCACCCGCTCGGGGCAGGTTCACGCCAAAGCTCCGGTCTCCCTGCAGCTTGGAGCAGCGTGCATGGTTTGCCTGGACCTCCTATAAACAGGGTGTCCACCGTTTCAAGTCCCGCATCCTGCAGACAGAGAGGGCCTCCCTGTGCCTGCTGGGGTGTGCCGAACACTGGGCACCCACGGCCTTGATTGGTCAGTGAGCGGGCAGCTGCTATGGCCAGTCCAGCTCCAAACAGCCCAAGGCTGAACCATTGGGATGGGTTCTGTACCTGAAACCTGTATGTGGCACAGCAGAGCTAAAGTGGCCAGGAAGCAGTTTCCAGGGTCTGGAAAGGGGCGTCTGGGTCCAGGTTAGGGCCCTGGAACACCTCCACTGAGACCGGGAACTGCCGAGGGTGTGGGGAAGTGGGTACGGGGAAAGAAAGTAGATCTTTCACCTAACTCTAGCGTGCCAGTGTTCTGACAGTTTGGGAAATACAGACTTGGGACTGTAAGCACTGCAAACAGCTCCAGGCTGGCTGGACCCTGAAAGGTCCTAACACCACCAGGACGCCAGCACCCTCCTCCCCCAAGAGTACCAAAGAAATAAGCGACATCAGTCAAGACTTGCCCACACCCACTTCCCAGCTCCTCTGTAAATTCAGTCCTACAGTGAATACGGAAGAGAAACAAAGGCAGGCAAGAAGCCCTAATTCCTGGTGCTTCCAGGGGTGGGGTGGGATGGGGGAGATGATCCCAGAAGGACCAGTGAGCGCCTCAGGAAGAGGACGACAATGGACAGATTGCAACTTTACAAAGTGCTTCCAGAGGGGCTAGCCCAACCTTCTCAGCCCCCACCCGCACCCCAGGCAAGGAGAGTGAAGGGCCTTGCTGGAAGGTCCCTGGCTGCAAAAGTAGCCGTAACTGCCTCAGCTATCCCTGGTCTGGCTGAAGATAGGTTTCTAGGGAAGGCAGTCCCCCACCGGAGGCTTTTGTTCCACTTTTGTGGCAGACGTGGCCAGGTGGTGCTGCCTCCTCCCCGCCTTCAGCCCGGGTCACACGGGCCTTTGTTCTACCTGCACACACCGGCAGACAGAGCCCACCCCTTTCCAGGCAGCTCCTCCCCAGGCTGGCAGGCACCAGAGGGCCTGCAGATAGCACAGGTGCAGGGAGAGAGGGACCTCATTTCTCTTGCTCCACTTTCGGTACTAGCCAGGACCGGCCACACATACACACAGAAGCACACCTGTTCTGCTTCTAGACCCAAGGCTGGACCCTTAGTCTCAGGCTAGCCAGCAGTGCACCCCAGATGAGGTGGTCAGAGGGCAGCGGGCGGTGACCCAAGAGGAAGTCAGGGCACTGCGCAGCCAGGCCAGTGGTGAGGACAGGCACAGTACAGGGGGTGAAGGGAGGGATCAGAGGTCAGGAGTGGCAGCTGCAGGGGACAGAGGAGATGGGATCCGGGAGGTCGGAAGCAGCCCCAAGAGAGCAAGAAGTACAGATGTGGCCCGGGCTTTAGGGACCCCCCCCCCCCAACCCCGCCATCACACCGGCCCGCAGCGGGCGCTCACCTGGGCGATCGCAGACCTGCTGGGTCGCGGCGGTCCAGCACACCGGGCACACAGTTGGTGAGTTCGGTCCAGTCTGCGTGCAGCCCGCAGCTCCAGCCCGTGGAGAAGCGAGAGAAGAGCCACGTCTCGCGGCGGTTGGGCCGATAGCAGGTGCACTTCTTCTGGCCCGGCCGGCAGTCGCAGGGCACCTCGAGGCGCACGTTCTGCACTAGGTGGCGGCCGAAGGTGGTGCCGCCGGTCTTCTGGATGTGCAGGAAGACGATCACGTCGTCGCCCTTCATGTCGAAGCGCAGCGAGCGCTCCAGCTCGCGCACGGGGAAGTAGTACTTTTTCTCGTAATGGGGGTCCGGCGTGGGGAAGAGATCCAGGTCGTCGGGGGGCGCGCGGCCCCCGGGCGCGCCCAGGCTCAGCCCCGGGCCCGCGTACTGGTACAGGATGAGCATGAAGCACGCCGAGCCCGCCACCACCAGCACGAACTTGCTGGCGCGCTCAACCATGGTCCTGCCGCCGGCGCGCCGCCGCCGCATGTGTCACCATCGCCGGCCGCCCGGGCGCCGGGCCT